CTGCTAATGTGTGTTTGTTTATTTTTCCCGGGCTGCGCGCTTCTTTTCGCTTTTGGGTCCGCGGGCTCACCTTGTTTTAAATAGTTCCCACTACCGTCCACCACCCCTACCATTTCCAATACCTCTATCACTCGGACCACCCCGCTACGAGTCTTACCACAGTTACGACAACTACTGTACTGTTTTCTTTGCGTTGACGCTGCCACAAAGGTGGATTTCTACTTTGCTTAGCCAAAGAAACCCGAAACCACTGAAAGCCAAAGACAACCACAAAGAAGTCCCTATTATAGTTCCTCTCTCCTTTTCCCTTACTCCTACTTCTCCTTCGTTAAGTGGGATGCCTTTTCCGGAAGGAGCCTAAAGAAACCCTAAAGACAAGAAACCGAGCCCAAAGAAACCCGAAACCAGTGAAGCCTAAAGACAACCGCAAAGAAGTCCCTAGTAAGTGGGATACCTTTTCTGTTTCCTCCCTTTGTCACTGTCACGCTGGCTTTGGTGCTTCGTCCCCTGCCCTTTCTGCTGCTCCTAGTGCTGGTTGTGTTTGGGCTTCACTGGTTTCGGGTTTCTTTGGGCTTGGTTTCTTGTCTTTAACCAGTGAAGCCCAAAGACAGCCGCAAAGAAGTCCCTATAGTAAGTGGGATACCTTTTCTGTTCCCTCGCTTTGTCACTGTAAAGCACTCCCAGCAGAAGCAAAAGCAAAAGCAGTAGGGAAAAAATACACGTTCAAAAAATCACGGAAAAAGCCTGGAAAAAAAACATCCTGAAAAAATTGCCATCCTTCAGCTTGGTTCTGAAAGGGGGAACAAGCTGAGACTGAAACGTTTTCAACATGGAGCAGTCTTTTGATACGAGAATCCCCATGTGTTCTAAGAAGAAAACGATCGAACATGCATGAACATGCTGAACTCGGCTGTACAGGGTCCTCAACCCTCAACCAGGTCTCTCTTTCTCCTCTCTTGGCGAGGAGAAACCCGATGTGACCTACAACGACGTCGGTGGTGCTAAAGAGCAGCTGGAGCGCTTGAGGGAGGCGAGAGAGCGGAGCGGAGCGCGGCCAGCCGGCCACCAGCAACCGGGGAAGAAGGTGAGAGCAACCCCTGCAACTTCACATGGAAGTGGAAGATAGCCCTTTGGAAGATTCCAAACAGGTGGTTTTCCACTTCCATGTTAGTTCCAGGGAGAGTAGATGGTCGATTGGTGGAACTGTAGGTCTTTCCATGAATGAAGTGAAGGAAGCGTCTGAATTCAGGTCTCCTATGGTCCCCCTAAAGATTCATGACTAGATATGACTAGCTTTCAACTTTGTAACTTCTTGGTGTTGTTGTTGTTGTTGTTGTTGTTGTTGTTGTTGTTGTTGTTGTTGTTGTGAGGCATGTTTTCCCGTCTTTGACTCTCACGACCGGCCTATGGAAACCCATCACCATCAGCCAACATTTCAATGATTCAGTGACACCGATTGTGGATGAAGCTTTGGAACATTGCGATCACTGAGATTGCCGTACCTAGGTAGTCCTGCAATGTTTGCACTGTCACATTGACAAGACGACATGGATTCGATGTATGTCAATTTCCCTTTTGGAACTCCAGGTTTTGCTTGCATGGTTCTATGCCTATCTATCCCCCCCAAACTGAGACGTGCCCATGGAGCTTTGCAAGCCTCAACTATTCTGCCTGCTTGGGGTGTCACTGCTATTGATCCGCCATTGTCGCGCTCAAATGGAGTGCTGCAGTTGCTCTTGCCTTCTTTGTCGTTTCTGCAGTGTTTCTGCTGTTGCTGTTCTTCTTGATCCTGCTGCTTGTTTTTCTATGAGAGGATGTTCATTCCGTTGACTTGGGCTCCAGCAACGCAACCTGGCCGTTGCAGAGCCACCGTAGTAAGTAGGAGTGCCGGGCCCAGTAGGATGAGCATGTGGTTGATTAGCCTCTTCCTATCTGTGGCTCTGGTGGCAGCTCAGACTACAGATGGAGGGCGTAGTGAGCTCCCTGGAATGAGAAAGGATATGTTCGACCAGATCAAGGATTCCAAGAACAAAGGTGGGACGAGATGTCGGCGCTTCACAAATAGCAAATATACGAAATATACATGTCATCGATTAGTGGAAAACGATGGAGAAAAGAAACTATGTATACTGGTGTTAAATTAGTTTTTGTTGAATCACAACAACATATAACAAGCACGGAACACCAGTCGTCGCTTTGCCGTCCTTTTCTGCATGTTCTCACACCAGCGACCGTTCACAGATGTTGCGTCATGTTGCTGATGTAAACATGACAGAACCATTTGACCAGCTTTGTGAATTAGCGAATTGACACACGTTCGTTTTCGCTCTCAAAGCAGGTGGTTTTTCTCACGCAACGAAGCACGTCACGCACCAGGCCCAGGTGGACAAACCGCGAAGCGGGCTGACTGCCCCAAGAGCGACAAGCTCTCACCCTTCAGAGCCTTTTGCATCGTCAAGGGCGAGATCTATGCAGCTTGGCAAGCGAAGGGCGGTGTTTCTTTGCTCCTGGCTGTACAGTCTTTTTTGTTTTTGCGTTTTGCTGCTTCTTCATCAATTTATGTATTGTTTAAATGTGTGTCTTTCTTTGTATTTATTTGTTGTTACTTATTAATTGTGTTTTTCAAGTTATTTTGCTAATTGTTACTTCTGTATGTTTGTTTGTATGTTTGCTTGTCTTTCTTTATTTATTTCATTCATTCATTCATTCATTCATTCATTCTCTCTCTCTCTCTCTTTCTCTCTTTGTGCAGGCTTAGCTCTCTCGCTGCCTCAACGGGGCGGCCTTAACATTGTAGGGACGATGAGCTTGTTACCGTGTCATTTGTTGTTGGTGTGGTTGTATTTTATTGTATTATTAGCTGCTAGAGTTTGTCTTTTGGTTGTTGATGTGTTTGGGGTGGTTGCTTCTACCGATATTCTACTCCACGCAGTCCAAACTGTGGTGTTAGTGGCCCGATCAAGACCATGCGAACGGGAAGCGTTCCGAGGTCAAGATCAATGACACCGAAGAGAAATGCAGAAGAGTCATCAGCATAGGCAATGGGGCCGTGGGGAATTCCATGAATTTTGCACATGGATGCCCCGCATTCGCCACGATGGCAGCCTTACAAACATGCTTAAGTGATGGTCAGTGAATCCCAGCCTTTAGCACCAGCCACATAAGGCCAGTCAGAGATAGCTGAGCGTCCGGGATCACCCCAAGACCGACCCAGTTCTTCACGCCTCTTCCCTCCGCTTCGGGACCCCACGCCGGACCGGGACCGGCCCCACCGGTCCAACGACCGAGGCGGCGCCAACGCCTCGGCGCTCTTCGACGCCTCGCGCACCTGTGGCGCCGTGGGCGAATGGAAGCGACGGGTGGCCGAAGAGCTCAGCGCCGTGTACTTCGTCGGCGGTTGGGAGGAGAGGTCGCGCTGATCGGAGGGTTTATATGGGTTGGGGAGGGTGTTCTTTGGGCAGGGGCTCGGTGTGATTACACGTCCCGACCGCGAGGGATTTCGGTTAGAAGAAGAAAGAAGGAATACTTAAAGAAGAAGACTTTAGTGTATGGAGAATAGTTGGCAGCGCAAGCTGAAAAGATATGGGTGGAATGGTGGTGATATGTGGTGATGTGGGAGTTCTGGATGCCAGAGGAGGAGAGAGGTATGGAGACCTTGTGGTGAGTGGACCCACTTGTGCCACCCAAGATCCCTGCCCGCATCGCTTGCTCTCCAAACTTTCAGGCAGGGGTGTCAAGTCAATCCTGTTTGGCGCTAATGATGCTTCCAACTGAGTCTGTTTCGAGGAAGCTGCTTGTGAAATCTTTTGAGTATAGGTGTTAATCTGGAACTCAAGCTCGCTGCAGCTCAGACAACTCTTAGCTTTCGGAACCGAAATGCCGCCGACCGTTCACGTGCAAAAGAACACGCAGGAATGGCCCAAAAGTGAGGGCGAACCGGTGGAGTTGGAGTTCGAAGATGGCAACCTCTCAGCGCCCTGGCAGCGAAGGTACGACAGGACCGGTGACTGGAAGGGATGATGGGGCGAGGTCAGTACAATCAATGGAGCTGCCATGTGCATTTAGAGTGGTAGTCGATTGACCACCTCTTGGATGGTCCCGGTATTTTCGCCGTGGGCATGAGGCACGCATGGGCTTCAACATGCTTGAACGTACATTTGGAGGTATGCCTGGGATGAGCGATGTCAAATTCAACAGAACCAAAGCGGAAGTATCGATTCGTTCCAAGGGGCTTTCGCCAGCAATACCAAGGAAACCTGACAGTGCCAAGTTCAGCTATAAGACAACTAGCGGTGAATTTAGTGGCACAATTTTGGGAAAATGATGGAACACGTTGAGAAACCATGATAAACTAGTGAAATTTGGTCGGAGAAGTTGGGAAAGCGTTGATCAACTGTTTGGCCACGGTATTTTCACCTGTGAACATAAACATCTTCGAGGTTCCCATCACGCCTGAGAACTACGAGGTCATCAAGGAATGCTGGGCTCGAGGCTGCGGCTGTGAACAGGCGGCCAACCCCAAGATGAAGGTGGGCCGCTCAAAGACCGTTGGACCGTCTTAGCTGGTCTTAGCTGCGCAGGTGGCTGGCTGCGCAGAAGATTCACTGGCAGATTGGGAGTCCCTACTCGTACAAATGGAATACCATTTCTGCATATGATACCAATGGAACCCTCAAAAGAGAGCGGTTGTAAAATTTTAAAATATCCGGGGGGTTTGGCCGTGAGGCCTGTTTTCACCGTGAAATTTGCGCGCACCGACAGTCACCTTAGGGTGAAATCTTCCTTGCCAGCCAGTCCGCCGTCCATCCCACAGGCCAGAGTCATCCAGAGTCTATATATAGAAAGAAGGGTATGCAGTGGGCGCTGTCGCTACTATTTGATACTATTTGCCCAAAATGATTCCCAAGACAAAGACCTGCTTGTAGAAGCACAGGTTCCATACCTGAAGCGGTTGACTTAGTTGTAATTATATTAAATTATATAACTTGGACTGGCCCGGGTATTTAGCATGGCTTGGTTGAAGTCGCATCCAGTGAAGGCAATCTTGCTCTCGATGCTGGTGATTTGCGTTTTCGGCATTGGCAGAGATGGCGTGAAGCTCATGTACGAAAAGTTCTTCGGTGGTTCGAAGAAAGAAAAGGAGAAGGAGAAGAAAGAGAAGAAGGAGAAGAAGGCAAGCTCCCCCCACTTGATTGCCAAGTTCTCAAGCTTCCCAGGCGATTTTCCAATGGGTGTCATTCTTAGAGTTTTTGCTGATTTGCTGTTTGGGGGCATGTGCAGGAGAAGAAAGAAAAGAAAGAGAAGAAGAGCAAGAAAGGTTGCTTGGATCTTCAGCTTTTTCATATTGTTTTTCTTTTTGTGGGGCCTCCTGCTGTGGATATATGTTCACCACACTCCCACTCTCCGAGTCAAAATGCTCAACCTAGACCTATCGTTGAAGGACAGGGCAGAACCAGAACCAGGCAGTTCTTTTCCTGTTTTTCTGGCCCGGAATGCACAATCTTACGTTTGGGACACATTCACATACATTTGCTGCATCCCTAATGTATTATCGTTTGTTTAATGGCCTTCCGAGGTCCGCCGCCCCACCAAGCGTTTGGATTGTAAGAACAAAGCCGTGGTTAGGTATGAACATAACAACAACAACCAAAACAAGAAGAAGAACAACAACAACAACAGCAACAACAAGAACATCAATGACAATAACAACAGAGGGGGGAGGGGGGGTGAAGTCAGCGAACCGAAAAAAAAAAAAAAAAAACAACACACTCTGACAATTGTATTCAGTTAACTCAGTTCCCAGAGGAAAGGAATGGCTCAACGGCAAGGTGAGGAGTCCGATCAATTGAAGATGTTTCAACAAAAAGTTTGTGCGCATCTGCAGACTCGCGACAGCAGCGGACGAGCGGCGGACGGCAGCTGAAAGGTGGCAGTTGGAAACCTGTTTATGGGGTAAGAAACGTGAAAGAACCATGAATCAAACCGTGGAAAAGTGGAGTGGACAGCTTGTGCAAAAGTTGTGGCAGGTACACACCAAAGCGTCCTTTGGTGCTTCCCATCTCGCTGCCTAGCTTTGTTAGACCAGGTCAGCAGCGAGATGCCTGGTCCCCCTGCTCAAAAAAGTTGAAAGTGGGAGGAGAGGTGGAACCCTTAGTTACAGGGGGTGACACACACAAACAGCCGATTCCGGCGCAAGTGTGTAGAACGTTGAAGGTGGAACTTTGCACAGAAAGCGCCAATATTGGCGCTGCGAAAAACTAATAGCCACCTAAAAAGCCTTTGGAAAGACAGACAAGGCAAACAAAACAAAAGCAGACTAAGAGGGCAAGAAAGAAAGATAGGGGTAGTTACGAGGCCCACTTAGTTAAATGAAAGTAGAGCGCGAGCGGGACATGTGTCTTAAACTGCCCGGGTAGCTAGCAATAGGCTAGGAGAAACAGAAGGAAAGGCACCAACACACAAGTGTGTTGAGTGCGATTTCCTTCTGTTTCCCGAGTAGCGGGTGGGGTAGCAAAGGAGGCCCAGGGGTAGGGAGGGGAAAAATGCACGATTAATTCGTCCGGCCTGTGAATACTTAGCAGCACATGCACATGTGAATACTTAGCCGTCAAACATCTCAAAAATGCAAGTGCTGCAACGCTGTCAGTTCCCGTGTTTAGGCCCGGCGGCCATTGTGGCAGTTAATTCGGTGGACGTGGAGGTGACTTCCAGTGGAGTTCCTGTGAAAGGTGGTGAGGTCAGTTAGTGCTTGCACGATGAGACAGCGCCCCAATGACGGGGATCACACTCAGCACCCGAGTGGGACGGCTGAGCGAAACACACTCTGACAATTGTATTCAGTTAACTCAGTTCCCAGAGGAAAGGAATGGCTCAACGGCAAGGTGAGGAGTCCGATCAAATGAAGATGTTTCAACAAAAAGTTTGTGCGCATCTGCAGACTCGCGACAGCAGCGGACGAGCGGCGGACGGCAGCTGAAAGGTGGCAGTTGGAAACCTGTTTATGGGGTAAGAAACGTGAAAGAACCATGAATCAAACCGTGGAAAAGTGGAGTGGACAGCTTGTGCAAAAGTTGTGGCAGGTACACACCAAAGCGTCCTTTGGTGCTTCCCATCTCGCTGCCTAGCTTTGTTAGACCAGGTCAGCAGCGAGATGCCTGGTCCCCCTGCACAAAAAAGTTGAAAGTGGGAGGAGAGGTGGAACGTTTAGTTACAGAGGGTGACACACTCTGACAATTGTATTCAGTTAACTCAGTTCCCACGTTGGGAAGGAAGGCGATGGAACAGCAAGGTGGCAAAGTCCGTTGAAAAGTATTGTTGAACATTGTTCAAATCGGCTGCGAGACGATCAAAACGGCGGCGCAGCTGCTGGGGAAGAGTAGGTTTGTGGGAGGTATCATGAACAACCATGGAAGCAAACAAGAGAGATTGGAACAGCGTGG